TAGGGTCTTTACTTTACAATATGAAGCACCTTGAGGTAACTGTTGTTGTGATGTGAATATTAAGCCATGTGTTTTAAACATGTTCACAATGATATTCCTTCTTTTGTTTTTTCACAAAGTTTACACTGTTTATTTATTGGGTGTTTCCCAATAAATTCACTAATTGATAACACGAGATTACACTCTACTTATGCCGATGATCACTTAATATCCACATGAAGAAGCACAGGAATCAGCTTCAGGTCATAAACGTTTTTTTTTCCTGCACTTTAATGTTTTAGAATGATATATATTCAGAGATTGACACTTAAACTTTCTAAAATAGTGAAACTAGAGTTTCTTATATTTTTCTCTCCAGTCAGTAAAACTCAGACATCAGCCAATCCTAGTCCAAATATTTCGGATACACGAGAATGATGTTGAAACCTGAAGCAAACAGTGGCAATGTAATTCACAGAATTAATATCTAGCGATCAAACTTGTCTAATGAAGAAAGCTAGAATAAATTACACTACCAGAAAGTAATTCTTTAAATTAAAATTTTCCCTTTTTTTGGCTTTTCTGTAGGATGTAATAAAAGTGTGGAGTCGCTGTTTAATCTCAAAATCACGTCCTCGTACTCTATTGAAGTGCCTCGTTTAGGACGCCTTTGTTAGTCGGGACAGCGATTAATGTTGAGCTGCAGGAGGCGGGCAAATAGATGTCACTGTCGTGTTGAAAAGGCCCATTAATCTGAGGTAACTTGATACAAAGATGGGTCGCGGTGGGTGAGCGCCAATTAGAAGCAATTATCACCTGTTCTGACAAAAAAAATTGACGCGAGCCTTTTTAAACCAGCGCTCGACTAGTCAGATAGATCCAAAGAGGCCTAGTAATGCGTGCCTGGAGCATAAACAGTGTTTGCAATGATGTTTTCAGTCTTTAAAGTTCTTTGTCAGAGAGTTAAAATCCATCATCCTGAAGTGTTTACTCTATTTTGTCTACCTCTTGCAGGTTTGTCACTGAGATTTGACTTGAAGGAAACTATGAAAAATTGGTGACATTTGAAAAAAAAAAATACATAGGGCATGCACTGCAAAATGAGCAGGGGAAATATAAAGTGTAGACAGTAATAAATGGGCTGGAACTCAAAACGACCTGCATTCCCCTTTAAAAGAAAATGTTGATGTTGGATGACATTGTCCTGTTGTGGACTGTGAAGGGGTGATGGCTACTCAAACAGATCACAGGCAGCCTGTCAAGCAGTCAATATTGACTCAGCTGTTGTGTTGCTGGTGTGCGACACGCCTGAATAACTGAGTTACCGAGCAGCATGCATCCCGTCATTCCACTGCTTTCTCTCTATTTGAGCCATAAACGGCGCCTGCTGATTCAACGCTGGTAATGCAGCCACAGCGAGTGTGAAATGCAGGTACAGGCTATGAAAGGAATGGCTTCGTATATATCGGGTTAGGTGGTGTTATGTGTTAGCTCTGTGTTTGTCAAGGCAGCTGGGCAGTCTTGCACGTGTGCAGTGTTTTTTTTTTTTTGTTTCTTTTTCTTCCAGCCAAAGCTTCAGGAATCACGCAGAGAGAAAAGACATCAGAGAGAGAATAGAAGAGAAAGACACAGCTGAGGGGGAGAACAGTCAGGAGCTGCACGGGGAGGGTTACGGTTCTACTTACATTTGCAGCCATTGTCCCACAAATAGCCGGGCAGACACTCCTGACACTTAGGCCCTGTAGTGCCCTCCTTACATATACAAAATCCTGTGCCATTACAGCGATCATTGACTGAGCCATAGGGATTACAATTACATTCTGGAAAAACAAAACACACATACACACACACAGGCTGGAGAAAAAAAGGGTAGTGCTTTGACTTCCCAGCACAAGTCTAGGATTTTCACAGCGTGGTCTGCGGTCCTCGAGCTCTAGCTTAAGAAGGTGCTTGATTATTATAACTGGTAAAAGAATGGGAATAGATTTAAAGACTCATACAGGGAAAAATGCTACCATTTCAACTGTAATGGAGACAGAATGAGTGAGAATGAAGCTGGCTCTAGATACATGAACATTTTCTATTCATTACAACATACTTGTAATTAATATAGCATTAATTTGGCTGTTTTAAAGAACACAGCGTGCAATGAGCAGATATGCAAAGCACTATCAGTAGCTTTGATTTTTTCTTTTTAGATGGACAAAGTGAGCCTATCTGAACATGCTCTTCCAAAATCTGAGTCATTCAAACAGGTAGAGGTAGCAAAAGATGGCAAGAGAAGACAGGAAATGTGATGAGAAGGTAGAGATGGATAATGATATGAAACAAAGATAAAGACTGAATGTTCCAGAGGAATGAGAGAGTACATTGAAATGGGCATTGTAGTAATATGTTCTTTAATTCCCTCTAATTTTTAAATGGCTCTGTAGACTTATTGTTATCCTTTGATAAGAATTTGGCTTCATCTTTAATTGCCTATTACAAACAGAAGACAGCGGTGCTCTGGCTGCAATTTGAACATAAAGCGCTTCATGAAAGCAACACGCCCAGTCTCTAGTGCCTCACACTCAACTGACCTTCCCACTTTTCAGAGCACCTGGAACACTCTGCAGTCAAAGTGACACTTATTTTGACAGTCCCTGACCATCACATTGCACCTTCTGTGTCTGTGCTGGCTGCACGCGGCTGCGCCTGAGTGACATCCAAGGGTCAGGCAAGAGGAGAGAGGTGACGGCAAGTGACAAAGTGGGGGGTCAGCGAGAGAGAGGCAGGGTGACGGCGAGTTTGGCACGCAGTAACGCCTCGGCGACTTTTAATGCCTTGTGACAGGTTTCAGCTGCTGCTCCTGAGGCCATTTCATGTATATGACATATGCACTTGTGTGGCACCTCTGACTGGCGGTGTGACTTCGCTGCAACATTTCTCTCAGAACTCTTGTTGCTTGTCAGACTCCCCCCTCAGGACTCACAAATGCACCTGGCACTGAGCGCTGTGAATTCACACTACATGTGCTAGCTAAAAAATTCAACGGGGAACCGAGATACTGCCCTAGGAACCGTAGGAAACGCAATTTTTACACATAGACAAAGTAGATAATGCATTTTATGAATGCCTGCGTAAAAGTCATGAACAAAATAACAGGAACACCAAGTGGAAATGGCCTTTTACCTCAGACATAACCATAAAGGTGGCATTTGCTTCACCAGCAAGTATTTTGGCAATACTGAATACATTTGCTTGTAAGTTCCACCACCAATTTTATGTAGCCTACAGTACTGTGCGAAAGTCACAAGTCACCTCCAAATTTTTTTAATATTTTGCTAGGAAAATGGAGAATAGGTGCAGTGATTATTCAAACATGTAATCATACATGGGAATGAGTATATGGTATAACCATCTTTATTCTTCAACACAGCCTGAACTCTCTTCAGCTATAGTTCTCCAGACTTCCTGAAGGAAATTCAAAGCTCTTCTTTGGAAGTTTGCTAACTTCTATTTCCTTCTCTGTCAAGATGATCCCACGTTGCTTCAATAATGTTGACGTCCGGGCTCTGGGGAGGCCAATCCATGACTGATAGCCTCCCACTGCGTGCTTTTTCTATCCAGGCATGCTGTCAGTGTGTTTGGGATCATTGTCATGCTGGAAATTCTTTCTTTCCAGATGCTATTGCATGATGGATCAAAATCTGCTGGAACTTTTCTGCAATTTTTTCAAGATCCCAAACACCTCTGGCTGAAATGCAGCTCCAAACCACGACAGAGCTTCTACCATGTTCACAGATGGCTGTAGACATTCAATTTTGTACCACACTCCTGGCCTCCTTCATACATATTGATGATGTCCAAAATTTTTAATTTGGATTCAAGACTGCATCCAACCTGTAGCCACTGATTTTCCGTCCAGTTCTTGTATAATTTGGCAGAACCTCAGCTCCCCCCTTATTATTTACCTTGCTTGATAATGACTTGTTGACAGCCACTTTTCCACTAAGACAAGTTGAGGGTTTGGTCATCAGCAGATCAACTAAAGAGCCAAATCTATCTCTCAGGTCCTGTGTCAGGTGTTTGCTGGAATTGTTTCTTATTTCCTAAGGACATGACTTTCAGATACTGTTCATCTGCTGCAAATAGTTTTTTTGTAAGTTCTGCCGCTTCTTATATTGTCCTGCTTTCCTAAGATTTTATAAGGGTACACATGATGCACAGACATGCCTTTTAGCTAATAGCTCTTTGAGAATCTACCTGTTGGTGCAAAAATACTATTTGATATCTGTTAAATTATGTTGTCCTTGGCATTTTATTTTATTTTTTTGTAGATTCCACAACTGGCATCTACTAAGAAAGTGCCTAAAACACAATTTAAATTTGGTTCTTTCCCATTTGTCTGTAATGTTGGACACAACAGTGATTCATCCCGTAGGTTAGGTGCCTTTGAGTGATTCACATGTGTTAAGTGGCTTAACAAAAAAACACTCCTGTGTTTTGCTCACTATTGCTCAAGACCACTTTAAACATAAGAAAATCTGACTCCTGGGAAGCAAAATATTAAAAAATGAGGGGTCACTCAACACTTTGTGGTCTATATGTCATGTCATACAAGGTTTCGAAGGTTACCTTTGGACAAAGCAAGACTAAATGTTATCCTTAATCTATAATGTCCTAAGCTAAGGCAACATGCTTCTGTCTGTACCTTAATAATAAACATAAAGACATAACAGTGCTCTCAGTTTTCTTATCTAACTCAGCTATATCCTAACATTTGAACTGTTTCTCCTTAATGACAGAATTTGTACAGAAAATTGTGACAAGGCACAAACCTGCTAACGTTTCAGATGTAGCTGTTGTGACCATTTCACACTAACCAATTTCTAATCACCATGCAGCTATTCAGGAGGACATTTATTCCTCAAATTATAGTTTTCTCACCTCGCCCACATGCTAAACCTTGAAAATAGGATCATTTTGGCTTCAATATACACCTTTCAAATAAAACCTAGCTAGCAGCAAGAGATTACAATAAAACACAATATATGAGAGCTAGTAGGTAAAAATAAAGGTATATTTAATAAATGGTAAACTGCTAATTTTAATATGATGCTAAAGACTCCCTTAAGCATAACCTGCTAACACCCAGGCTAACAAGGAGATTTATGAGCAACAACCTTGTGTGAAAGCAGAAGAAGCAAAAGAGGAAGATGACTGGACATGGAAACAGGAGAGTGTATGAGTGATGACGTGTTGGGGATGAAACTGACAATTTCTCTAATGAGGAGTCAGAGACAGGAGGTGAGGTGAAGAGAGTGTGAAAGCGTGGTGGTGGTGAAGGGGCCCGGATGGGGGACTGACCTATGCACACATTTTCATCGTCCAGTTCTGCTGAGGCATTGCGGTAGTAGCCCAGCTTGCATAGCTGGCAGTGCTGGCCCCTAGTGTTGTGCTTACAGCTCACGCAAATGACGGTGTTTAGCAGCTCGATATAGCTGCATCGGTTGGAGTGGCCGAAGCATTCGCAGTCTTGCAAAGAGAGAGCAAGTGTGAAGTGAGGAGAGGGGAGGAGGAGAGAAAAGAAGGAGAAAGAGACGCGGGCGAGAGCGTTGGAATTGTTGCTTTTGCAGCGAGTGCTACGGCGGTGGGGTTAGCAAGTCTGATGGAGGCTCCGTGGCATGCGAGGTTAAAAATGGAGATGGTTTGAGGAGAAGATGTTGGGGGGAATGACAGGTAAGGTTGGTCGTGATTAGTCTCGCATGGGCATGGCCAGAGTTAGAAAAAAACAGAAGTTTCACATAAAACACCACGGCGTTAGTAGAGAGGTCACATCACTTCAAGCACACCACAGCACGAGGCGACAAAGGCTCTGAAATGACAGCACAGAGACACGATCACATCAGGAGCACCGCGCAGCATGAGGCAGGTCAAACCATGAATGAAATGGATGTCTCAGCCGCTGAGAATGGCGTGTGAGGGAATTTGGAGGTTTTTGTGTAAGTCTTAATGTCAGCGGTTATCTGGTCTGAAGAGAGGATGAGATGAAACCTTTGTGTTTTCTTTTAAAACCCTTTGCAATGACTGATGTATTACTTATCTTTAAAACCCTTAATTCATCCAACAAACATTTCTTTAGTTGTTTTTTAGTCCGACCCAACTGAGTTTTCAACAAGCAATCAGCGAGGCAAGTGAGTGTGTGGTGAATTGTAGCTGGGTGGGAAAGTGACATTGCCTACTATGCAGTCATGCTTAGTTAGATAAAGCTATATTGAGTCGAAGCTGCTACAATCCATGATACTCACTGGCAGTCCTGCCCTAAGGCTTGCAGGATGGGGCGTGTCCGGCCCCAGCTCTGTTCCAGTGAGGATCAGCCCGTCACTCCGAGTGACCACTGACACCATGTGTCACAGCACAGACAGATGTGACCCTTAAGCCACACTGGCAGCTGCTTGGACAGAATGCCCACTCACAGCTCCACGATAAAGTGGTTAGTGCAGGAGGCTTTCGTCCAAGGGATTGTGTTTATTAAGAATCTGTATTGAGGTCAGTTCTCTCTGTCCAGACACTAATAAACTCGGCACGTCTCGGAAACGAAGGTACAGCAAGTCCAGTTCACACTACCTTTCACCTAAATCAGCAAGTCTTATCCAAATGTAAGCTAAGGTCCTCTACGTTAGATGCCTCCCTCTTGCAGGCATACTCTCAGAAGACAAATAATCTCTCCTTTCTAGAAATAGGCTAAGGTTATAAATCATGCACGGCGCGCACAGGGAATAAAAAGTCTCAGGTACATGTTCCCCCCCAAAATAGTTGTAGCCTCAAACACCCACTTTATTTTCAGTGAAAAAAGAAATGATTCCAAGGGACTTTTATAGTGTTTAGAATACGATTCCATAGATGAATGAGTCGTCCAGTGAAAGCCATCAGTCTAGCTCTGAGCTGGAGATACGGATACAGAGTGCTCTAGCACTGGGGTAGTGTCACAAGGGTTGGGGAGGGTTGGCGGGGGGGTAGCTCACAGGTTAACAGAAACATCAGTTCATACAGGAAGAAGGCTTTGGGTGTCATCTGGGATTGGGTGGGGACAATGTGGGAATTCCAGAGCTCCTACCTCGCTTGCTGTTTGCAACGTGGACAGAAGGGGCAGTGGACAATGCAACTTGAGGAGCTACTAGACAAATTAAAAGAAACAAACAAACAAACAAACAAAAAAAACCCCCATGATATTGCAATTCAACATAACACATGTAATGCCAGAGAATTAAGGATACCAAGCATCACGCCTAATAAAAATATAACAATAAAAGAAAAGAAAAGAAAGGAAACATACGCAATAAAGATGAATGATGGCATTGAGAAATAAGGAGTGACATTGCCAAGTGAAGCTGGCTGCGTGTAGCAGCATCTGTTACAAATGCCTTCGATTCAACAATTCAAATATTATGGACCCTCTTTTACGCTTCATTTCATTAACAAGTGCTTAGTATAATTCAAAACTGTCTGTGTATGTTTCCCCAGACAGAAACTATACCCTGACAAACTACTCTCCACCTCGGTGGAGGCCAGCCAAGAATTTTCACACTATAAATTTGTGCACAGCTGCGTGGGTAAGGAAACTGGCTAGCAGTGAACACATCAATCCCTCCATTCTTTTACGGCTATAAAGCAAACAGTGGGGAAAAGGAAATAATGGGCCCGGCCTCTGCCATTGTACCAGGTGACATAAGCCCTTGCCACATACATTGTGAGCGCTTGGCTGCAGTCATGGAAACACAGAGCTGAGCGGTTGTGCGCTAGTTGTGAGGTGGCTGAACACGGCATCTACATGATGGATTAAGCTAAGTTGAGCCCAACACTTTCAAAAAAAGACAAAAGTGAAACCTCTCCTGCTTTTCTATCTAATGAGCTAACACGGTGCTGAGAGCTGAGCACCTAACTGAAACAGTGTTAATGTATAAATCAGAGCTGCAGCAACCTCTTGAGCCTCCAGGGTGCGACAGGCTGACTTATAATGTTTTTGGGCTTTTCAAGAAGCCAGGAAAAAGGGAAGGATAGTTTGGGCTACCAAAGAGTCATTTTTGACAACTATACAAACACCTGAAGTAAATGAATCTGCAAAACAAAAACATAATTGTTGCATAATCTTAGATGCCTACCTTCTTTTCGGTTAGCGACACCTAGGGATGACACATTCGGCCGAACTGCGTGCAATTGAGAGAAATCAGGAGTTAATGATGTGTCCTCGTGTGATGCACTTTACAGATCATCTAAAGAGGGGAGACTATGTGGTAGTGGACACAGACAACTGGAGATATGAACATGTCCAGCATGACTCAGATCTGTAAATCAGGAAACAGCACGATGGGGCAGGGCTGACATGGACGGGCAGAGAATGCATCCAAAGAGCCATTAAAAGGACGTCGGAGAGACGTTGTATGTAATTTGTGTGACGTCCATGACCTTGCTGTGCAACTGTATGTTTATGGCAATGGCAATGATGAGTGGGAAAAAAAACTGAAGACAAAAGATCAAGAAAAAAACCCAAACTCAGTTAAACTTAGTATTTAGCTCATGATTTATGCAAGGGACTCTATGTATAGCAAATGAAGACGTTAGGGGGCATTTTGTTTAATTCATCACATTGACTGAGTAATCAATATCTAATTACAGTGTATTTCTGGTGGAGGAATAACAATGAATAAATAATGGCAGGTGTTGGGACTTGGAATGACGGACTGCTGTGGGTAGCATAACCTCATAATTACATACAAGTCAGTATTTCCGTGTCAGGGAAATACTTTGCGGTTGGAAATGGAGAGGACTCAAGCAAAGGGAGGAATACGGATAAGTTTCCTCATCGTGCCCCTTCATCTCTTCACTTGATCTTTCTGTCCTTTCGCTATTGACTCCATGAATCATGCAATCTTGGGTAATTAACATCCAGCGGTGTCTTGGCAAGAAGCCACTTACTCTAACTATGTGTGAATAGAGAATATGACTGCTGTTCACCAAGTGCAATCTTTTAAATAATGACTTTTTTCCCTTGTGAAATAATGGTTTCGAATCTTTTTTCTTTTTTTTTTGTAAGTGGGCTGGATTTCAATAAAACATTAGTTTTGAGGTTTGTATGTCTTTACAGAGTGACAGTCGCTTTAAATACCCTCAGTGCTGATTTCAAAACTGCTCGAACGAAAGAAGAATTTGATTCTTCGTGGGGATTCTGGCATCGGTGACGACTTTGACGTCTCCGCTGGGTCTGAGTCACACGAGTCACAGAATGAAATGCTGTTTGAAAATGAGATATTAACAAATAAAGAGCTTTTGAAAAAAAGCTCTTTTTTGAAATCTACTTTGAAATACTTTGTTCGTGTGATAATCACTTAGCAGTGAAACCGTTTGGTCAAAACAGCTGCAAAAAAAAAGGCTCTGCCAGGAACATTTGGAAGGGAAAAAAGGTGAGAACGCTGCACTGTCTAGATCTGTCGAACAGCTGATCTAATTGCTAAAGTATGATGATATTTAATCACAACCTGTTTCCAAAAAAAGTTGTGGTGCTGTGTGAAATGTGTTTCAACATAAAGCACAATCCTTGTCAAATCGTTTACCTGAAAATGGCACAAAGACATTAAAAAAAAATCCAGGTTTGATCATTTTAAATTTGCTGCCAGCATCAAGTAAAGAAGGCTGAGTAAACAAAAGCCTGGAACCTGTGTAGCATCAAAAATAAAATAAAGTAAGACAAAAATATTAAACAACTGTTGAAACATCTCCTAACTAATTGGTTATATTAGCGTAAGGTCAGTAACACGACCGATTATCAAAAAGAGCAAGAAAGCCTCTCAGAGGTAGCGATGGAGAGGCGTCTGCTCCTCTGTGTATTACTGGGTGTGCAAACAGTTCAACAACGATTCTCTGTGCTAAATTTGAAAGGGATTTAATAATACACGGTACATAATATCATCAGTAGATTCAGAGAATATTGAGACATCTCTTTACATAATGAACAAGGCTGCGATCTTCTTGGGCCTTCGAACGGCACATTTGGTTCTGGAAATCACTGCATGAGCTCAGGAGCACTCAGCAAACACAGTTCAAAGCTGCAAATACAAAAGAGCCACGCTAAAGGAGAAGACAACAAGAAGTAAAGAAAACTGCCCTTTTCTGAACCTGAGCTCATTTAAGATGAGCTGAGGTCAGGCATTTAATGTTATCTGTGCACAGTCCAAAATCCAGCCTTCATGCTGGTAAATGGCTGCTTTGGTGTACACTGGGTACTTTGCAAATTTATAAAGTAATGCTATAAATGTTAAACAATACATATAGGTTCTTAAGCAACAATGCTGGCATTTTTTTTCTTTAGAGAAGGTTTTGCTCATTTCATGAAGGTAATACAGCTCCAGAAAGTCTCAATGTATTGTCTTTGTACCACTTTCAGTGAAATACAGTTTCAAATCATAACAATAATTTTATTTTCATTTTACACATTTCCCAAACTTGCATTCTTTTGGAAACAGGGTTTCTGTGTTGGCAACTGACGGGATGTAATGCACATCTAGGTTCCATTAATTATTTTGTTATGGGGAATATTCAGGAGTGAAATGAGTGGTGACGGATTTTAATCAATGCCATACTTATAATGAAATGCAATCTTGCAGAGCCAGAATTGTTTTTTAAAATATTAATTTCACTTTAATGGTCTGCATTAGGCAATTCTGCCTGGCTTAATAAACTTGAAATAGAATTGAGGAAAGTCAATAAGGAATTCAATTACCTTCAAAAAACAACATAAAAAGTGCAGGGCTTTGTTTTTTCTCCCCCAAACAGTAGCTTTGTTTCCAATCCTTAAAAAAACAAACCTCAAGGACATCATAACCTTTTCCCCCCTTAGCCTGTTCTTACTTTATTAATGATGCGACTTAACGTTGGTTTGTGTTTGCACTGAAAATGGCCTCATCCTCTTCAGTGTGCTTAAAAAATAAGACAGTCAGCATGTTTCATTTTTTTGTGTTTTGTTGGTTCTGTGGAAGGCTGCTGCAACAAGACAGCCACTCGTGAGAAATCTAAATCCCCGTGGGCCAATCTGCATGAGAAACGAAGACTTTGGTTTGTCAGAGTGTCCTTTCTACATCGCCCATCCTCCCTCCCCAAAACACACACACGTACACACACACGCACTTATCAGCATGCACACCCGCCCTGTAAAGGATTTGAGGACAGCCGTTGGACATGGTCTGGCCTGGCATTTTGGAAGGGACGGAGAGGATGGATGTGCAGCAGTGAATATGTACGTGTACACAGCATGTATGAAGAGCATGCCCACACACACTAAGCACTAATAATGCCGTGCATGAAGAC